AATGAATTTTATTTTACATTTCTTCTTGTCATTTTATTTTGTTAGTATTAAATTCATGGTAACGAAATAAAATGACAAACGTGTATCAAATAAATCTGCTCACCTGCAATTTATAATGGCGCATTGTAGTCACCTTCGTGCACGAAAGTTCGTTCAATCTCAGCTGTTAGTCAGTTATTAGTTAGTCAGTTATGTCAGTTATTTGCTGTTGTATCGCCGATTTTCAAAATGCGAATGATCTGTTTATTTTCAAAGAATAGTTTGTTTTGTTATTGTTTGGTTGGTGTCTTACATGAAACTGCGACACTGCGCAATTTATTGGACAGACTTGTTTAAGATCACACAACGTAATTGGGGTGGCATTTTATTTCGTATTTTTAAATCATCTTTTTATTTTTGACTATCTGTAAATTTAGTTTCCTGCTCTTAATTGTGAATGCATACTTGATGGTTTTAAATGCTCCTGAAATTAAGTGCTGCTTGACGAGCCTATATTGTGTATGTATGTGACGTCACTGAAGGCCTAAGGTTGAAATGCACGGCCCGCCACTGCCCAAAGTGTATAAATAGTCACCTGTCCAAAGACTCAGTGACACCCCAACATCTCCACCATGGGCAAGACTAACGAGCTGTCAAAAGGTGTCTGGGACAAAATTGTTGAACTAAACAAGGCTGGAATGGGCTACAAATGGGCTCCATGCAAGATATCACATCATGGGGTCTCAGTGACAATAAGAAAGGTTCAAGATCAGTGTAGAACTCCACGGGAAATGAAGGTTAATGATATAAAGGCAGCTGGGACCACAGTCAACAAGAAAACTGTTGGTAATACACTGAGACACAGTCGTTTCAAATCCTGCAGTGTGCACAAAGTCACTCTGCTCAAGAAGACTTGTGTTCAGACCCGCCTCAAGTTTGCCAATGAACATATTAATGACTCTGAAAGGAGATGGGAGGAGTCGCAGTGGTCAGATAAGACCAAAATCAAGCTTTTTGCCCTCAACTCAACTTGACATGTTTGGAGGAAGAAAAATGACAAACATTACCCCAGCAACACCATCCCCAGCATGAAGCATGGTTGTGGAAGCATTAAGCTTTGGGGTTGGTTCTCTTTTAAGGAGGACAGGTTGACTTCACCGCATTCACTGGGTCATGTACCGCACAATCTTGCGTAACAACCTCCTTGCCTCCGTCAAGATACTGAAAATGGGTCATGCGTGAGTCTTTCAGCATGACAACAACCCAAAACATGCAACCAAGGAAACAAAAAGGCACATCAGACACATGGAATGGCCTCGGGGGTCGACAACACGCGGCTCCAGAGCCGCATGCGGCTCTTTAGTGCCGCCTAGTGGCAAATAATATCAACACAAATCAATGGAAAAAGCTGAAGCTTCAAGTTTCCAAACAGCAGCCTTAAAACATCCATTATTTGGAGATGATCTGAAGAGAGGAGTGGACTGAAAATATTCCTTATGTGTGTGCCAACCAAGTAAGCAACTACCAGAAATGTTTGACTGCGGTGCTTGCCAAACTAGGGTTTTGCAGCTAAGTATTAAATCCTGTTTTACGAAGGTGTCAAATACATAATTCACTCAATGAAATGCAAATTTATTATTTTTAATTTTATGTAATTTTCTCTTTTTTGGAGATTTTTCTGTGACTATCAAAATCAGAATATAAAACTGTAAAACACATAAGGAATTTGTCTCCAGTAGTATGCGTTACTCTAGGATTGAAGTAACAAGCAACTGCAATAAATATGACATGACATAAGTCTCGAAAGTCTCGTCCCCTAACGTAAGGGTACCGTTGTGCAGTAATACCACCCCATGACAGCTGTGCAACAATCTGCAGAGTCATCGAGCAGAGATAAAGTGATCAGTACTGCGGTACTTAGAATTCTATCATGGTTGTGCAGTTAATGCAGGTAATTTTTGCACCACTTTTAAGTGACCAGCAGCAGTAATTATCATACAACTTTAGGTGTGCAACTCTAGTGTCCAGTGCTGCGGTATTTTGCTATTGTCTCCGAAAAACCTTCTGGTTTTGTGTGTGTTGGCGAAAAAAGTCAAGAGAGTAGACTCCCTAATGCTGAGCAAGTCTTCTCTCAAGTAAGTCAGCGGCGTAGTGTTGACAAAAATAAAGACAATACTAGGGAGTGCCTCACCGATGCAGCCGCTCGCATCAGTGCCATTCAGAGATGAAAGTCCTCCGGATTTTCCCGGAATTTCGGGTTTTTCACATTATTATGAAAATCTCTCCGGAGAATTGAGGAAAATTTGCCTAAAATTAATCCGGATATTAATTGACAACATTGAATGAAGACGCGTTTGAGTTTGTTGTTTTGCTTTCACGAGGCATAGCCATGTTGAGAAACTAACACGAGTAACAGTAGAGATTTTCGTCCCTTTATCAACACATTTGCTAAACCCCAGTGGAACGAATAAAAGACACCGTGGACAAGACAGTTGTCGTAAAAATATATATTTGGACAAAAAGGGAAACACACAGGTCGGCAGAAAAACGTGTCCGTCCGACTTCGAGTGTCGTCTCGGCTAGCTTAGCTTAGCTGTTGTCGTGTGTGACGTTGGGTGTGTGACGTTGTTGCGTCGGCGCTTATTGGTTGAAATCAAAAGACGCGCTTTTTTAATAATCTTTATTGAACAAGTCAGAATACAATTCTCAGTAAACAGAAAACAAAACGAACATGTTATTAATACATACATATATTACAAACGTTTAAACAAAAAAGAAGCCAGGCGATTTTTAGACAAAAATTTCAAATAAGGAGCATATAGCCAGAGTCTTAACAGCTTTCTTGTTTTTGGAATCCAGAATAGAACTCAGGTACTGCTTTATTTCTGCTTCAAAAATTAAGAAAAGAGGTTTTGAATTATAACATCTGGATTTGTGGATATGGAACTTAGCGAGAATGATTATTAAATTTATAATGAAGGTTTGTTTAGTGTTTTTTTCCTTACTTTTGTAGAACCCAAATAGTACATTTTTCCAGTATAGCATAAAGTCAGAGTCAATGTGTTCAATAATAAATCTGGATACAACTTTCCAAAATGTGTTGGTATACTGGCATTGCCAGAACAAGTGAACCATTGTTTCAGGGTACATTCCATAAAATGAACACTCAACAGGGATGTCCTTCTTGAACCTAAGAAGAAAATGCTTAGTGGGATAGTATTTGTGTATCAATTTAAAAGAGATTTCCCTTACTTTATTAGTCAGGAGGTGTTTGTATGGGAGAGACCAAATTTTTCCCCAGTGTAGATTATCAACAAAACCAGACCAGTAGGTAATAATGTGTGGGATTGTAGAAATATCTTTTTGAAACCGAACGGTAGATTAAATTTCTTTAAAAATTCAGAGTAATTTAAAAGGAAGCCTTGATTATTGATTAGTTGACTGACCAGGACTATTTTATTGTTGAACCAATTATGGAGAAATAATGATCTATTCTTGTATAAGATGTAACGATTATTCCAGATAAAGCATTTATGAAGGGAAAAATTATGTTTATATGTCAAGGACCAAGCCAGAAGTATTTGTTTGTGGAAATTGGATCAAGCCAAGGGAATTTTTTTCTATTTTGTAGTCACATAAAAGTACAAAGACCACCAAGTTG